GGACACCCTGATGTATACAAAAATTTCAGGTATTCTACTTTTTCGCCCTTGAGTGCGGAAAAGTAATACTTTCATGACCTCAACGTGCGGTAAGGTGCACTTTTCCGCACGCTCGTAGAAAAAAATTATAAAAACAGCTGCGATTAGGGATGCCACCTTTGAAAGTAAGTTGAACCGGAGAAAAAAAAAAAACCATTATTGAAAGAAAGCTGAAAGAGAAAATCTGCAGATCTACAATGCAACAGATGCATTACACTTTACTATCTGTCTATATGTATATACACAAGTCCCCCCCTCCCCAGCATCACCGGATGTTGCTTGGGGAAACTTTGCTTGAGGTTGGGAGTTGAGACGGTTGGAGAAAAAGATTCAAGAATATTACACACTAAACAGAATAGCCTATCTTCATAACGACACTACGACCGCTGACGCAAACAGTTAACGACACTGTTGATGACTTCGATAACGGTGCAACACTATAGTCTTGATTCCAAAAATCGAGTCCAATGAGCGGACGTGTAGTAGTGTTTAATATCCTTGAGGGAGATTATGAGGCTTTGAGGTTCGTGGGCTGTCTATTCTATCGCCAAACTGCATGTCGGAGTCGGATAATTTCTCAATTTCTCCGAGAGAAACCGTATTTGCACAAACAGGATTGCGCTGTTGCTAAATTCTATTTTTCTTTTTTAAATGCGTTTTTTTTTGTGTTAAATGCGGTTTTACCCGGAGAAAACACCTAGTAATCCGGAGACTGAAGACCATGTAAAAACCAGTAGACTCCGGGTGAAACCCGGAGAGGTGGCAACCCTGGCTGCGATTTAATGAAACAACAAACAACCAATAATAATTGGAATAATCAAATCGATCAGATTATTCATTTGATGTTTTCGCGCTCCGAATCTAGAAGCAATTTTTGGCTTCTCCACAGATCTGCAAGCTCTAAAAATTGGTGTTCTAGGTATTTTTCTATCAATGCCAGCATTTTGACGAAGAAAATCCAATCGAACAGGGAGGGGCTAGCGTTAACCATGCCCTCCGAATTCGAAAGCAATTTTTTGTCAAACTATGAGTGTGCTAGCTCTAAAAAATGGTGTTCTAGGTTGTGCTAGGTACAGTGCCTCTATACAAGACAGTGGCGACAATAGCGCCTAAGCTCCGCCCACCCGCAATGTTTTGTCGAACTCATTCAATAATGTATTTGTTCTTCCTTTTCTTTCTGTTCTAATTTTTTCTCACAAAATAGTCAATAACAGACACAAATAACAAAAACAAAAATATATTAACACAAAATTGCATAAATCTCCATAGAATCAAACTGTAAACACAAATAACTTTCAACAAAACATAGCCGATATTCTGCAGCCAATCAAAAATGAGTCCCTCTATTGTCGCCACTGTCTTCTATAGAGGCACTGTAGTGCTAGGTATCTTGCACCTGTGCTAGCATTTTGAGTTGACTGAGTAAATCCAACCGGAGGGGGCTAGCGTTAGCCTGCCCCCTCCCCCCGAATTGGAAATCAATTTTTTGCTAAACTATGGGTGTACTAGCTCTAAAAAATGGTGTGCTAGGTTGTGCTAGGTATCTTGCACCTGTGCTAGCATTTTGGGTGAGTAAATCCAACCGGGGGGGGGCTAGCGTTAACCTGGCCCCCCCCCCCGAATTCGAAATCATTTTTTTGCTAAACTATGGGTGTGCTAGCGTTCAAAATTGGTGTGCTAGGTTGTGCTAGCTACATTTTACCTGTGCCAGCATTTTGGCAACGGAAATCAATTCGGGGGGGGGGCAGCTTAACGGAGCTCACGTGCTTGGCGTTCGGCAGCAGCACCGAACAATACGATAGTTCGGCTAGTCTTCAAAATTGGGTTTGTGCGCATTTGACGTCACCGTACTCTTTACTCTTGACGCGGACCCTACCTTGTTCTAATTGAGTTTGGAAATACTATACCTGTTTTGTTATATTTTTGATGCCAGTTTGTGAATAGTGGTAGTGGTAGTAAAAAGTACATTATAATAATAATATCGTTTATTTTACCATCAGTGACAGTGACTCTTCAGTAAACAATACGTCTGCTGAGCCATTTGGCTCCGATTCTGGCTCAGAATTACCCACGAGCAATAGACAGAAACGTAAGCGTTGCGGTTTTAGTAAATATTTAATGATCCGTGAGAATAACGCGACTACGAATAATGCGAGTATGAGAATGACAAAATTGAAACCGTACCTGTCTGCGATAGCGGCAGCAGAAGGAAAAAGCAGCAGCATTCACCAATGTAGGATAGTGGTACTAGTGGCAATACTGGCAGAAAAAAAATCTGTTATTTTTTTGAAATTGAGGTGGACCCCAGTACCAACGGAAAAAACAAAAATGATAAATTTCCAAATGTATACCATGTTTTCAAAAACCTAACAAAAGTGTTTGCCTGAAAATTAAAAATTCCGGGACTTCTTGGGTAGAAAGACACTTAAAAGTAAAATATGGGACGTTATTTGACAAAGAATTTTCTGAAGGAGAGCCTGATCGAATCAAGGTTCAATGTTCTGCGTCAGGGGGTAGTACTAGATTTAGATTCTTTTTGTGAATCGTTCTAGCGAAAAATATGTTCAGTTCAATAAATTAAAATATGTTGTTATTTATGTTAGAATATGTTATCTTTTTCACAAATAAATACGTTTTAGCATTTTCATTTTTAGTCAAGGTATTTGAAGATTTCTTGTTTTCTTGACAAGAAATCTCGGTATTGACATAAACTTTCTTGTCCTGTCTTGAAATCTGACATTACTTCTTGTCGTGATCTTGTCTTGAAATCAAGACAAGATCTGGAAATTATCAAGAACTTGGCGACCCCTAAAGAGGGGCATCCATTTAAAAAAATCAAGTTACATATACGGCATCTTAAAAACGGTAAACTTGGCAACATCAGAATGTTTCCATACATAACGTCAACCCTATAAAAAAATAGGGTGTTCCATTTAAAAAACAGTTCATTCATGGCATAACTCTTTCGATTTTGGTTCAAATGATTTTTTGGTTCCATTTTTGAATTCTCCAGAAAAAAATAAGCCAATAGGCTATTTCGAATTTTTTCAAAACTACAGGGACAGGGAAGGTCAAAAATAAGCCCCTGTTCAGTCGTCGTTGCATGACCCTGTACATCTCGCAGACATCTTTTACTTGTGTATATTTTGGATCAGAATTGCAAAAAGTCCAACAAGTGGAAGGTTATTTTGATTGCTTGAAAAAAAAGCCTTACGTACAATCAATACAAATTATTGTGAAATGACTTGGAATTGTGATATTTTTAATATAACTTGGCATTGGGGGGTGGCAGAGGAGAGTAAGGGACCACTCCAGCTGCCGGCAAGACGTAGGTACTTTAGTCTTCAAGATCACAGGAATACGAATTTGAGCCGGTCCTCACATTTTGCATACTCAACTACTTGTAGCGCCTGCTCTACAATGAAATTCACTCTGACTGGTTTTCAATTTCTGTGCGAACAGAAAAAAACTCCTAAATGATAGGCCCTCATGGCGTCGTGAAGTCCAGGTCCAGGACGGGCCACAAACTTTTGCAGAACAGCGACGCAGATAAGAGACCGAGAAGAGGGACCGCAGGAAAGAGCGAGAGAACAGGGCAAGAGACAATGCTGCCAGAGCTTGGGTGTGCCAAGACTGTGGAAGAGTGTGCGGCTCCAGAATTAGTTTATCTAGCCATCAGAAAACGCACAATTGTTGACAATAGCATAGAATAGAAGATAGGTAATCATACTAGGCATCGAGTGATCGCGTATGATGATGATGAAATCAGTAAAAAGGAATTATTAGTCATATAAGAGAAATCTATCACAAAACGACAAATCGCACTCGCCCTTTAAAAAACTCGCCTCCGGCTCGTTTTCTAATATAGGGCTCGTGCGATAAAATAACGTCTTATGAAACTTGTATTTTAATGTACTATTATATTTTTATCCCATTTTGACGTTTAAAAATGACATTATTGAACGCATAACAATAAAGGTAAGTAGACTTTTATCACCTCAGTGATTTAGAAACATTAACTCACTCTCAGAATTTTTAGTCATTCTGCCCAACTAAAAATCTGAAACCTCAGTGATTTAAAATATTTTTAACTCACTCCCGGCATTTTTCCTTGTACTTTATTTTTTAATTTCCACAAAATGGGATAAAATTTTGTATACATCACATGAGTTAAAATGTTTATTCATTCGAAGAAAATTAACCCACTCGCTAGGGCTCGTGGGTTAAACTTTCTTCTCATGAATTAACATTTATTTAACTCACTTAGTGTATAAATAACTATTATCTCAAATCCACAGAATTTTGGAGTAATTTACTGGTATTTTATATTATGTCAGTAAAATGTTACCTACGTTACATATACGAGAGGTTTAATTACTTTAATTTCAGCCTTGTCGATCCAAAAATTAATACCTATTTTCCTTTCCTTTATTTTAATTGGGGTAGGATCGGAAAAAAAAAAACACCAACGGAAGTTTTTTTTCTTTAAAAATCAACTTTCCTTGTCATTAAAATAACTGTATCACAACAGATTTTATTGTAGGTATTACAGAAGTTTTCTTGTGTTCGGAACATCACCATAATATGTAATTTTAGGAATTTAACAAACAAGACGTAACAAGTTAAAATAAAATTCAAAAAACACTGTAAACATAACATTTAAAATTAATGAAAACAAAAAAAATACCTACCTATTTCAAATGGTAATAACTCTAAAGTTATTATTGTTACTTATTTTTTTTCCTTTAAATTAAATTCAGGCAATACCTTATTGAATTAAACAACCATCAATGCATACTGGTCAATTTTGTGAAAATTTATCTAAAACACCTAGAGAAAATTTATTTCAGCCAAATATGAAATTCTCCATATTCCTAGGCACATGTATGGAATTTCGGTAATTGCTAGTTTTGGTCCATATCCACGTTTATTTTAATCTAATGTATTATTATTTGTTGCAGAAAATGCCACCTGTCCGATGGAAATTGCTTATAGGTAAGTACTTAAGTATAGGTATTATTATTAAAGGTTGCAATTTTAACCGAAAATCTGTTTTTGTAACTCTCCATTTATTTTGTCGTATTCTACATGCCAGAAAATTCTTACTAAATTATTCATTTACCAACGCTGCAATATCAATAATATCTACGTATTAATTGACTTAAGCAGCCGTACCACTAACAATTCTTTCGTAAACCATCTGCGCAATCCTTTCTCTTCCTTCTAAAGTTAATAGTTCCCCCCTCAGAAACCGTTTTATTACGCATATTGAACCATTTCGACAATCAACATATAAAACTAAACCAACTAGTTATGCAATTTTATGAAAACATTATTTTGCATTATTGCCCAAAATGATTAATGTTTGCTACCTAGCCGTTCATTAAAGATTTGTTAAATCCATGTTCCTTTCTATAAAATTAAAGCCTTGATATATTTTTTTTATGGAAGCAAATTTATGTTCCTTCAATTTTGTCCACTAATTTTTCCGCATAGCTTACTGGAAATAGTATTGCTGCAAGGTCCATTTTTACATTTTTATTGTTATTTTACATCATCTTGAAATAATATTTTCACTTTTTTACAGTAACAGCGATACTCTCACAGGTTCAAGTGGACGCTCACCAGATGCAGGCGAGTATAAAAAATGTCTTAAACTTTAAACTGTTAACCCCATTTTACCATATGACAGTGCTGAACAACAATTTTAACGAGTATAAGTAACACTTGGTTTTGTAATTACTTAGTTAACATGTTTTGTGGAAAAACGAAAACTATTTACAATATCCTCATGAACATCTACACAAATCTATCCAATTTTGCGATAACTACTTCGCTTTAAGTTTTTTTTTTTTTTAAATGTAACTTCAAACACAGCTATACATTTGTGTATCATCACAGTAATTATTTACCATTCATTAATACCTTAGTTATCCAATCGAATGGACAACAGCATTGTTATGTCATGAAGACTGAAATATCATTAAGTGTATCACCAGTTGTAATACCAAAGATGGTGTCCTACTTGCATATTAGGTCTTTAATAATCTTAATACCCCTTACGTAAATTGCGGTCATGGCTAATTGTATTATTTAACTTCTAATTAAACTAACAACTATCGATAATTACATATACCTACTAAATATCAACCAATTAATGGTTTGTTCTTTTAGGACTCAATATCCATGTCTTCAGATGGTTGGCGACCAATCATAGGTACTGGAAGACAAGCAACGAAGAATAAACAAGAGATAAATCAATATGCTAATCCTGATAATTTCGAAATCATCCCTGCTGAAGTATCAAACATTGAAACTACCACGTCACCTTTCAAGGTATCAGGATCCTCATCAGCGACTCATGCTACTAGCAGGCAAGGTAAAAATGTATTATGCAAATGTTGCATGTCTATGAACCAAAGATCCATTTCAGGCGTGAAGCAGCAATTTAAAACAACTAACCCATATTTTCTACCCCAAGAACAAAAAAGAACGGTCAATCAGCAATTTAAAAAAGTTGTTAAAAAGGTAGGATATGCTAAACCAAGAAAACCTATCAGAGGACAAGTGCTTTCCCATAGTAATAGAAATGAAATATTTGTGCCCGCTCCATCACAAAACGCAGGTAAGTAATAATACTTGGAAAATAATTGAATCCTATTTCATGTCCTTGTCAGGTGGATTTGCTCATACAAAAAATCATCAAAATAACATAAAAACCAGAGAAGCACAAGGTTTTGGACTGATAGGTAACAACTTTGGCATAAGTCAGCAAAATGCCCATATAGAACTAGCAAGATTTCCTCTGACTGGTGAAAGTATCCTGCAAAGACCAACATTCTTTTTAGCAAGACCTTTGCAGAATGATGAATTTACTAGAAACTTGGTTCCACCACCACGGAGCAGGCTTCCACAGCAAAAAAGTAAGGATACTAAAATTTCTTTGTATGCATTCAAGGAAGGAGGAGCCATTACTGATGCTACAGCAAACATACCCCAGTTTGGGGGTAGACCCAATCAATTCTTACCTCAAGTCTCTCCAACTTTTGACTTTAACACCCAGCAACAAAAGCCGATAAAGTCTCAACAAACAAAAGGAGCTGCGATTGATGTGCAGGTTACCAAAGAAAATTTGAAACAATACACCCAACAGCAAAATATATCGCCTGCCGCTTTTGGAACTATTCCCGGAAGAAACAATTTCCCTATTGGATTTGTAGATTATGAGTTTCAGAAAAATAGACCTCAAACTGCTCCAAATGCGGTAACTTATGAGGTAATTGCTTTACTTAAGTCCAATAATATGTTCATTTTTATTTTTATTTTTTTCATTTAAGGTTACCGAAGGCAAATGGCTGGATACAGTCTCGCAGCAATACCAATTCCAACCTCCAAATCAGTTTATTCAGTTCCAAAATTACAGACAGCAGCCTACACAACAAAACGCTAGACCTGGTCTTTTATTTCAGCCAAGCCCAAGTGGTTCCACTGGAAATCCTCCAGTATTTCAAGCCCCTTTAGTCGACATAAATGTTCCAACTTTCCTACCAACTCCTTACAAATCTGAACCTGCCATAATACCGACTTCACCCACTCAAAGTGAAGTGGCCACCGTATTCACGCAAGTCAGTAAAAAAATGAATAAATATAGGAATCAGCAGTTGCAAGAAAATCCTTTGATCTTTGACATTAAAGAGGTTTCAACGCATTATCCTATACTGGGCACACCTAATGAAGCGCAATCTGAAGGTAGCACAGACCTACCAATAAACGAAAATGGAGAAATTTCAAACGAAATCACGACACCAAAAGAACATCGTACAAGACGTCCTACGAAAGAACCCACAACAAAATCAACTTCCACAAGAGACCCAACTAAATCTCGAATCAATCGAAGGAGACCAAGACCCAGGAAACCGTCAACCACAACTACCACTGAAGAACCAGTGGTCGAAACCTATGAACCTATAAAGTCCCAGGAGGTTATTCTCGAAGAAAGTGTTCCAATTGAAAATGGAAGGCCTCAGAAAAGGCGCAGGCCCAAACCCACAGCTTACATACCCGAGTCAGAGGAAGAGAGGACGCCAGTAAATGAGGCAGTTGAAGAGACAACTAGCAAAAAAAGGGGTAAGAATCAAGTTCGATAAATGATAATTTATTAACTAATTCTTTTTAATTAATTGCAGGAAAATACCGCTTTAGAAGCAGAGATCGACCGTCCACAGAACGTAGTGATACCATCCAACGTAAACGTCTTAGGCCAGCTCACACGGAAAATCTACTCAAAAACCAACAAAAACACTCTTTTGATGAAACAACCGAAACTTCAATTGAATATTCTTATGAAAGGGACTCTCCTTCGTTGGAGCAAAGTTATTCTCAAGAATCATCTCAATCAGATGAAAGTTCACAAATTCAAAATAACGAAAGTCAACGATTTGAAATGCCAACTCCTGTGCATGAACAACATGAAAACAAGCCATTTATAGAAGAAATCGGTCCTATCACAGAAAGAGCTCCTACAACAACTACAACGGAACAAGAATCCCACACAATATTCCACATACCTGATAACAATGAGGTTGATTTCACAACTCAAGAAGTGCCAAAAGATGATTTTATTACAACTACTGCCCAACCAACTGCAACCAATGAAGTTAGTACAATAAAATCTACTAGAATCAGGAAGCCTAATAAATTTGACAATTCAAATAGGCCTAGATTCAGTGTGAAAGAATATAGGCAAAGGCTCAACCAATACTCTTCCACGCCAGCTTCTTCCACAACAAATAAAAGTACCCAAGAAAATAACTTAAGACTTAGATTTCCTAGTAGATTAAGAACAAGGCCTTCAGCAACATCTAGCACTAGCAATCCAATAATTGAAGATGTTAACAGTGAAGCGACTACAACAAGGTCAAGATTCAGGCCGAAAGATCCAAGGCATCACCAAACGAATACGGAAATTGATTCAGATGATGGTATTACAGAAAACAGTATCAAATCAGTGAACCCTAAATTCCGGTCTTTTGGAAAAACAAAAACTACAACAGAAGCTACAACTCCTTCCTCTAAAATTTCTATAAGACCAAATTTATTTTCCGCTAGAAGACGGGCAGGCTATCCAAGTTTGAAAAATCGAATTCAAAATAGATTGAATAAGAAAAACGATACCGATGAAGAATTACAAACCACCACAGAAAGTGATGTGATTGAAGAAGTCGAGCCTTTAAATGCAGCTGAATCTGCTACAACTGAATTATCAACGTCTACAAATGGTGAATTCGTTGTGGACGTTAGTCATACACAAGATATGAAAAATGAAGACTTTCTCTATTCACAGAGAGTTTCAGATTTAACGTCGTCGTTTAAGGATTACGATAAACCAGGTTTATTTAACTCTGTATCTCCAACTAGTAGAAGTATTCCAAATTATTTTACTATATCTACGGATGATCCTATATTACCTATTGAGGCATTTTTTCCTAAACTAAAAGAAAAAAATAAAGAAAGGTAAAATAAAGAGTAGAAAGTATTTTGTTTATCCTAAATTAGACATTCTAAAATATGTGTGGGAGGATAGTACGAAGATGTAAAAATATCCAAAATTAACTACTTGTTGTGCGTGTGTGTGTTTTCTTGATTTTTAAACAAATGACAAAATTTCAGAATAACTGATGTAAAATATTTTTAATTATTTCAGTGTACCTATTTCTCTCAGAAAATTTGCTGACCTAATTAATTCTGACAAGAAATAGGTAACTGAAAGAATTTCGGAAGTTGTGCCTGTTCTGACAATAATTTTAAAATAATTGAGAACACATTTTGAGTGGTGTGTGATTTTTGTTCAAACTGACGAAAAATTAATACAGGTACAAATAATTTCTAAATAGTGAGAGCAGTATTAGGTTTAGTTAATTCCATTTTAGATTATTTTTATAAAACTTTTGATACCAAATAAATCATTATGTGCAATTTTTATAAAATACATTTCTATTTATTATCATTAGATTTTTACATAATTTATTCGGTTTATCTAGGTTGGTTATTTTACTGAGCTCAGTAAAAATTAAATTTTTATAAAATGTAATATAAATTTGAAAAAAATGTAAAATCGTATTTTATTTTACATCTTTCAAAAGATACTTTCTTTCTGGTACAACAAAGCAATGGATTCACAGATTTCCACCTCATTTACCAAGGAAGCACCTGGCTATTGTTTTATTGTATCGTCCTGCACAGGTTGCCTTGTTTGAAGTGTTGTTAGTGAGGTAAGTAGTGTAGGAACGTTTTAGATTTTAGATTGGTATGTTGATGAAACCCTTCATATTGTCCAAAATTTTATGTGCATATTTTTAGAATCCACGAAGAAAGGCCACATATGCCATTAGCGTTTTGCCTAAAGTCTGTTTTTTTTAAAGATAAAAGTCGTGTTGTGATCCTTTGTAGGGAAACTTCGTTTGTTGACTTTAATTCTACATTTCAAATACAGTAATTAAACCTATTCGAGGAAACGTGAATGTACTAACTACTTTGCTCTTCTAATAATGCCCTTTTTATATCCCGAAGTACCTACTTAATATCCTATAAAAATGTTAGAGATTAATAATTATGTTTACCGCATTAAGTAGTAATTATTTTAAGAAGACTAAAGTTTAATGTTGTTTTTGTTTAAGGGTTTCTGAAAGAAGGCAAATAAATAGAATAGATAGAGAGTGAACTTTGAAATTAGTGGAAAAATACCTAAAAAATAACTGAAAATGGACTGGTACATAACAGTCGAAATGACATTATGTTGGCAATACAATGTAAAATTGTCAATGCTTCCAAATTTTTATGTAACAGAGGCTTGTGTTGCCAACATAGTTACTAAATTTTTGACTTGGGGAATTATCTTAAAAAAAAAAACAGACTTTATGTGTTTTTTTTTATTTTATTTTTTATTTTTTTATATTTACAATTTTACATTGTATTGCCAACATACCTAAAGTCATTTTGACTTTTATCTTCAATTTTGTAACAGACTTTATGTCAGAATTGAGAACATAGAAACCCATAAGTTGCTGATTCTGACAAAACAGATTTAGTATATTCGACCTACAGTGACTAATAAACCTTTACAAACAGTGGCGACAATGGAGGTCCCGCCGTCCTTTTCAGGCTTACCTCTTGATAAATTTGAATTTGAATGTATAGGACTTAAATGAAAATCAATCATAAAAAATTGAAAACAACGTATTTAATGACTATTATTAGGTCTTCCTCTAAAACACTAATGTTCGTTCGTCGGTCTTGCCATTTGATCCGTAGAATTCTTCTAAGCCATCGCTGGTGGTATTTTTCTACGCTTTTTATGTGTCTTCTGTAGGCGATATACCGGGTGTCCCACTGAAAACTGTCAATGGCCTATATCTTGAAAACGGTAATCGATTTAAAAAAAAAAAAGAAAAACCCGTTTGAAGGGCTGGAAGGGGGAACCAAAACCAGATATTTTTCAGGTTTCCCTGAACTACCCCTCGGGCGGTAGCCACCCTAACCTCAAAATCGTAAATGGTACTATAGATCATGTGATACCTTGTTTAAAAGGTTAATTCTCTAAACGAATCTGCAAAAAAAATTTATCCAGATACAAATTTAAATTGTCAGAAAATAGCCCATGCTTAGTGTTAACAACTTTGCCCTCTTGAGAAGGTGAACACTGTCAGATACAGTGAGGGGAAGCAGGTAAAAAAAAATAAAATCTTGATGATTTTTTCGAAATTCTTCATGTTATTTATTTTGTAACGGGTCTTCAAAAAAAAACCAATCAAAGATTGCTTTGATTACGAAAACGTACGTCGCATTATTGTTTCTTTATTGGTCAGGATTTTTGATATGTAATTTTTTTTTGCAGATCCGTTTAGAGAATTCAAAGACCTTTAAAACAAGGTATCATATGACCTATAGTGTCATTTAGGATTTTGATGTTAGGGTGGCTACGGCTGGAGGGGTGGCTCGACGAGAGCTGAAAGGTACCCTGTTTTGGTTCCCCCTTTCAACCCTCCAAACAGGTTTTTTTTTTTTTTTTTATCGAATACTGTTTTCGACATATATTGACAGTTTTCGGTGGGACACCCGGTATGTTTCGCAGCCATTGTAAGTGCTAAAATTAAAACTGCATTGTAGACACGAAGTTTAGTCTCAACGCTGATGTCGTGATTGTTGAAGACTCTCTCTAGAAGTCGCCCGAACGCCGAACGCCGCGCTAGCACACTTCAAGCGATGTTGAATTTCAGCGTCAATAGTTGCATTCGCTGACAGGTGGTTCCCAAGGTATGGGTTGGTAGTGTTCTACGTTCTGCAAAGAATGGTAATTTATAGTAATATTTGGTTGGTGCAGAATCTGCGTCTTGATAAAGTTGACCTCTAGGCCGATTCTCCTGTATGCCTGGTTGAATGCATTGATAGTTGCCTGAAGTTCTTCCTCTGTGTTGGCCATCACGACGCTATCATCCGCATATTGAAGTTCAATTATCATCGTCGTCGATACTTTCGTCTTAGCTTGTAATCTGCTGACATAAAGTTTTTTGCCACCAATATCACGTGACTTTAAAATGGTATTTGTCGGACTTTACTAATGTCATCAGTCATCATAACCAGAGGCTTTCTTGCTGACTGAAGGGTAAGGAAAAATTTCACACCGTCGATGGAGACAGGAGTTATTGTATCATTTAGAGGGACAGGCAGCCTACAGATTTCTCTATAGCTCCTATCTACGTCATCTTCATGATCAATATAAGCATCAGGGTCATCGTTAAGTGAAAATTGTAATTGAAGTGAGTCAGCAAAAGCACTTGCTTTTCTTGATTAGTATACACCAAACCAGCTCTACCATATGAATGGTGGGAATTTGCCTATTTTTCTTATTTAGAAGAGAACGACACATTTTCCATGTGGAGTTATCCTCAGGGGACAAGACAGCTAGTAAATTACCCCATTTTTCGTTTTCATGTTCCTTAATTAAAGTTTTAATCAAGTTCGTAAGTCTGTTACACTCACGTTTGATGTTTGGGTCTCTAGTCCTTATTGCCAGCCGAGTTGCCAGCCTTTTAAGTCGATTTCTCAACTTAATTTGCTGGCGTATGTGATGTGTGGTAGTGAGTAAGGGTTATTTTCTTTGGTAGTTATAGTAATTTTAGTGCAATTTAAACCGTCATTAACTCTCCCACATAACAAAACTGCATCCTTAGAATGTACTGAGAATGTTCTGAGAAAAGATTGTAGAAATACTGTTTGCAATACCCAAGAACTTCCTGGGAAATCCATTAGGATATTCCTAGAATATACCTATGAGATTCTCAGTACATCCTGAAAAGAATATTCCTGTTTGATTGTAAAAATATGCTTGAAATGTATATTCTCACATTCAAAGAATGTGTCTATTACATTATAGTTATGTTCTCAAAAGAAATTTATACCAATATGCTTGAAATATTCTTAGGACATACTTGGAATGTTAATTTTCGTATCCAACCAAATAATGCTCCTTTCAATGCTTTTATATTGAAGGCAGTGAAAAAGTTGTCGGAAAATGTCTCTGAAAAACACAAGTGTTTAACCAAAGCTCCGGTTTCGAGCTTATTATGCTCTCGTCGCGGTAAGCACGCCAACTGAGAGAAACAGGTTTCAAGGTGATTCAAACGCGAGGCAAGATGTAGATCATTAATAGCTCGTGGCTCCCTCTCTTGGAAGTCCTACAAAGCCAAAGAAAAAGAATATACCTATAATATTTTTAGTACGTTCTAGATAGAGCATTATTGTTTTATTGTTCAATTAAGATTTTTGAGTAGGTACTTTAGATAATTAGGTGAATAATATGGAAATATTCTTATCATGGGTACCTACTTACATAAACTTCTCAGCACAGCTTGGTAGGTATATTCTTGATACTTGATAGAGATATTAGCCGAAAGAACATTTTTTAGGGTACATTATAATAATGTTCGTATGACAATATCCAGATAATGTTATATAAAGTAGGTTCTTAGCACAATCTTTCAGGTAGGTGCATAGACGCAACATTCCTAGTACATAAATAGAACGTCCAAAAATTAATATTTCAATCGAAACAATCTAAGAATATTCATTAAACATTCCTGAAATAACATTCCAAAAAGCACTTTGAGAGAATATTCTGAGAATATGAATGTTCTTTCACTGTTATGGGGGCTTCGAGTAAATGTGTAGCACTGTCAATGTCCAGAGTCGTGTTTAACACGTCTGGTGGGACATGATTGGCTTCAAGATGAGATGCGAAATGCGGATAATTGTTAAAGGAAAAAGTGTGGTGACTGTTGACATCTTGGCCCTTATCACCAACTTTGGGACTAATTGAATTGTGGTCGGAGCTGAGATCGTTAATATTGCCAATACAAATAATGTTATGGGCGACCAGTTATGGATAGAGCAAGGTCTAGAATATCAGGGGTAATATAATTTCAATTTCAATTTCAATAAAGCTTTATTGTCCTAATTCCTAGCAAAATCATTGACAAAGCAAAACGTACAAAGTAAATCCTAAAAACTATAGGTAAAAACATCAAAGGCAGGTAATAAAATTTCACAAAAAGTTCCGTCTAAAATAACAATAACAATCTACGTAAGTGCTTTAAGCAGCGTGACACTAGTCATGAAAGAAGCCTTCAACAAAATTGTTTACTATGTATATCAAGTATTACTGAAAATGGTTAAAAGATTAAAATAACGAACAAATTCGAAATAACAAACAACAAATTCAAAATGGGAAATCACACAAGCAAATAAAAAAAATAAATAAAACACAATAAAATAAAATAAAATAAAATAAATAAAATGAATGAAAACTCTAAAATATAGTAACATAATCCGTCTTATGAAACTCTAAAATAATATAATAGATACAATTAAATTTTGCAAGGAATCATAAACAAAACGCTGTCATTCATAAAACTCTCCCAGGCTAATAAGCTTTTTCAATCAGGAATGCTTAAGTTTTTTTCGAAAGAGTTTGTACTGTCGTTCAATGTTTTTCAGTTCCCTTGGTAGATGAGTGATAATTTTGATTCCCTCATAAACTATTGAA